TATGTATGGTTTTGTTTTCCCACAGGCCAAAGACAACTATCCCTCAGCTGTTTGCAATTATGAGACAGTGGGTTCCCCAAGTACAACAGAATATAGGACTTCTTGTCAAAGAGGTATGTATGACTAAGATGATTATCTTAGGGAAGCACAGGTGACRTGCGCTTCTTATGCGTCGTTTCTCACCAATGCGACCCGAGTTCAAGCCCCGCCGTGCTCGGTGTTGTATTTGAGTAGAGTTGTTCATTGGTTCTCTCCTGTGCTTTGAGGGTTTTTCTCCAAAAACCAACTTCTAAATTCCAATTTGATCTTGGGCTTTTACCTAGCATGGATCTGAGGGTTTCATTCGTGATTGTCCCACTCTGTGATTACAGACAAGACTGATAGATTTTTACAGTGCGACTACTTCAACCAAAGCCACCTTGACAAATTTTCTAAAATTTGCCAATCAAAAGTAGGAATATGAACAATAGAATTGCTTCAAATCGGACAAATATTCATGGGTTTACAYRGCTGAGAAGACTGCCGGCACCTTTGTTGTCGAATATAAACGTGCTGTCGCATAAAAACATGGTGATAAGATCTAAATGTGTCTGATTATATCTTTGTCTGGAAGAAACAAACTACCCATCTTGAAAGGTAACCAAGACTGTGCATCATAGTGAGAATGGTGGCTGTGCCCTTGCAACGATAGAGACCTTTTTTATTGCATACTAGGGAAATATTCACATGTCTCTTTTAATCATTGCAAGGTCACCACCATTCTTGTATCGATGGACCTGCAGTCATGGCCACCTCTCAAGATGGTGCAGGAAACCATGAAAAGGACTAATAAACTTGCTTGGACAATGTGTAATAAATCTTTCCTTTAGCTGTGAACTTAATTTATTAATAAGCCTTGTTCATAATACAAAGACCATCTGAAGTTGCTCTTTAACTGAAGTCATAAGCCTGGTCTATTGTCTACAACTCTATCGCCAATCATTAGCTCGACCCCTTCACTACTCCCCTACCCAAAAACACACACACACACCAATTACTCTGACTCCAATTTTGTCGTCAATACATGTAGATGGGCATATTTATTATATCTACTTTGTTGTATTTTTTAGATTCTTAGGAGAGGTGCTAATGTGAATGACAGAGATGGACTAACAGACATGAGCATGTTGCACTATGCTTGTAAAGCTGGTGCAGGTATATGGTGTTTCTGGTTGAATTCGATATATTTCACTTAACTTGTTTAATTTACATAGTTTTGATCTTAAATTGAATAATGAAAACTATTGGGGGACATAGGGAAGTCAGACAAAATTTCTAAGCCCCTTGAATAGTAGTTCGATGCTCTAGCCACTGAGCCACTGGAGACTCTATGTTGAACCAGGGGTTATCTGTGGGTTTTCACACATGAATGGAATACTAATTCAAAATGTGTTTTAGTTGGTGTTGGAGATGTAACTAGTTCTACTAACGTCGTCAGAGAGCTAATCACTAAGGTAACGGAAAAGAGTATAGAGTGTTTTCACATGATGTCATAGCGGCCATTATGGGGTACCAAAACAATATATTTTCTATCCTCCGGTAATTGAACTGCAAATACTGTGCAGAAAGTTTCTATTGTTTATGGCTGCCTTCTCACATGAGTGAAAACGCCCTATAGTGTTGTTCTTAGCTAAAGTCCCCACTATGATCTCTCATCCACTACCAATTTTGAGTGTATAGATAGTTTGAGATTGGGATATGTCTATCCACCTTATTTTATTCAAGGAGAGTGTTAAAATACCCCCCTCCCCCCCTCAGGCCCTCTTCACCCCTTGGAAATTTGAATCTCCCCCCATGGGGGAGGTAAGGTATTGTTTTTGGAGCAACAAAATATACCCCCCACAGACCCTCCCCACCCCTTGGAAATTCCAATCCCCCACAATAGGGGACGTATGCATTGAGTATTTTTGGRAACTGCATAAATTGATACTTTCCTCAGACCCTCCCCACCCTTTGGAAATTCCAATCCCACTCCATAGGGGAGGTATGGATATTTTCTGAAACTACACGACATACCCTCGTCAGACCTTCCCCACCCCTTGGGAATTCCAATCCCCCTCCATGAGAAGGYATGGATATTTTCTGAAACTACATGATATACCCTCCTCAGGCCCTCCCCACCCCTTGGGAATTCCAATCCCACTTAATGGGGGAGGTATGGAAATTTTTTAAAACTACACGATATACCCCCCACAGACCCTCCCCATCCCTTGCAAATTCCAATCCCACTCCATGGAGGAGGTATAGATATTTTCTTGTACTACACAATATATCCCCTCAGACCCACCCCACCCCTAAGAAATTCCAATCCCACTCCATGGGGGAGGTATGGATGTATTCTGGATCATGRATAAAATCCTTAACACTTTAATTTGTTGTAATAGGGAGTGGATGTCTCACAGAGGTGTCGATGGACAGACATGTTACCACTTCACTATGCAGCATTCTTTGATATCGCTCCAGTCATCGATATCCTCTTAAAAGCATCAAAGAGCAAAGGTAGGTTTAACAATTTATAATTCTTCATGTAAGACACCTCATAATGCAAGCAAATATAAGGAAACAACAGATTCACATTAGAATACAATCACGCTGGACACTGATACACTGAAGAAACAGAAAATGTGGGCACGTGCTSTGTGCAGTTATAAAGCAAGATGGGATTGGCAGAACATGAGAGAAGTGTTAGGAGAAGGACGACACATAGTGGGGTGCTTAGGAACTTGACACTTCTCAAGTGTTCTGCTGAATCCGTTCTCCCAATTCTTCAAGAGCTTTATAACACCACACAGCACGGCAAGCAAGTTTTTTATTTCTTTTATAAAAKGCAAAGGGCCCTTGCGCGCTCTGTGCTCTCATAAAGCATGGGCTCCCAACCAATCAGAATGCGAGATATATATAACAGTTATTTTATAAATATATGTTAGTGACATAAAGTGGTGAACTTAGACATAGGATGCTGGCTAACCACAGGCTGCCCATGTTTGGGTATTTTGGCAGTTGTAAACAGACCTCTTTAGCTTGGCCTAATGTTTTTTAATTTCAGACCACATCTTATTCCCTTGAGAATAGGATTCTTTGTTTGAGTTGTATCCATATTTATGTGTCTTCTCATACTCAACTGTTAAACAAAGAAATGATACTCAAGGGAATGACACATGGTCTTGAGAATAAGATTCTTTGTTTGAGTTGTATCCATATTYATGTGTCTTCTCATACTCAACTGTTAAACAAAGAAATGATACTCAAGGGAATGACACATGGTCTTGAGAATAAGATTCTTTGTTTGAGTTGTATCCATGTTCATGTGTCTTCTCATGTGCAACCCTTAAACAAAGAAATGATACTSTAGGGAATGCAACGTGGTCTGAAATGGGAAAACATTATGCCCAAGGTAATAAAGTCTATTTTTTTTCCACCTAAAAAAGTGTATTAATTGCAGTCAGTTTAAGCTGTGGATAGCAATATTTATCCCATATTATCATCTCAGAACTGAAAAACATCTTAATTGCTGTTGCTTTTCCTTTCAGATGTAAATGCTCGGTGCAAGGAGTTTGATAATGGCACAGCTCTGCACATCGCTTCAAGTAACCTTTGTATTGAAGCAGTAAAATCCCTGGTATGTCTGCAACTAAGGGTTCGATAAGACATTCATGTTTCACTTTGCTTTGGGTTTGCTTATTTGTTTGTTTAGTGGGCTAATTGTGGCGTGCCTCCTAACTACTTTAACAAACAGGGATCCCAAGGGATCCCAATCTCAAAGAAAGTAAAAGAAGAGAAAGGCCTTCGTAGAATGCTAATATAATAATAGACTCTAATTTTCTCAAATATGAATCCATCCAACTGAGTTTGATCGTAACAAAGCAGACTTCCGATTACAAGCATTCTGATTGCTTGGTGTGCATTCACATGTATTTTAATAGCGGATATTAGAGCTATACACTGGAACACTTCTCGCAGTCACTATAATTGGTTCAAAAATTATGGTCAATATATGTTGGTTGATTCTTAGTTGTACAAAATCTACCCTATGGTCAGCCAGCTAGGTGCCTTTGCTCTCTCTATTTACCTTTACTCTATTTATCTTTAGTTTAATATTTGCTCTCCTAGCTTGATCATGGTGCTGATGTATCCACTAGAGACAAGCTAAACAGAATAGCACTTGACTGTGTACCAAATGGTAAGTCTTAACACTGAGTACATCATGTGGAATCAGTTCTAGTGGATTTATTCACGCAGTGTAGGCAACCACCAGTGAGATTCTCAGACAATGATAATCATACCGTTCCAGGGGCGGATCCAATAATTTGTTAGGGGGGCCCAATGAAGAAATTTATATAGAAATATTATGCATCTTAAATGTTACTCTTTTAACAGGCCTTTCATGAGTCATGCTTTACAAACGTATAAGAGTAATATTGCAGGTGACCAGAGCACCTCATGATACCCCCTTGGATCTGCCCCCACATACAGTACAGGACTAGGAATTTGCAAGATTCCCTTTCCAGTTTATTGCAGTTTTTATTTTATTTTATTTTTTT